GTTATACATTGTGTAAAATGTAGTAATGTAATCAGGTGAACAGGTCTGCAGGGTAGAGACAGCAAATGCATTATTTATATAATAAACCTCACTGGTACCTGTTATTTACAATTTATAGAATGCTTTCCAGTTAGGGTATGATTTTTAATCAGTTGTATTCACTTCTGGGCAGCACCAGCTGTAAGTGTGAATGGCTGATGTCAGAACTTGTCACAATGTCTAGATTACTGACGTAGTAGGAGGTTAACACTGAAATTAACCAGTACAATGCCAATGGTTGAGGTTGAACAAGTAATTTGCAGCCCATTAGAAATTGGAAAATTATTGATGGCTTAAAATTTGTTATTTACAATTTGTTTGACAAATAGCAACTCCCAAGTCAAAGTATTGACAGTGCGAAATAGTGCAACACAATCTATCTCTGAAGCAGCGCTCCTGTGGTTCAGAATGATGTATTACTAGTTATTACAGTACTTACTAATTGTGACTTGGAACTAACTACAGTAGAACCCTGTTATAAGGTACCCCTTTAACGCTGCTTAAGAGCAAGTACTCGGTGGACCTGCCAGCTTCCTGCTTGCTGGAAAAATGGCTGTCCTGATTATCAAGTTGATGCTGATGTCACTTGCTGTATGTGTTGTATGCAGGAAGTGATGTTGGCGGCGACCTAGTGACCCAGAAGTTAGCCATTTTTAGCTTGGGAAGCCAGATGGCTTTCTGCACTCCTGCACTATGGAGGCTGAAACACTGATTAGCCACTGCCTTATAATGGGAGTCTGCTGAAATTTTCAAATGTCATATTTTAGATCAGAAAACAATTAATAGATAATTCTGTTATTGAGTTATGATTCTGGAAATCAATGTAACTTTTAAAATCAGGCATAATGAAACTGTGACATTTGTATGACAGAACATGTGTGATGTTCAAAAGCACAGAAATTCTTCAATATCAATGCAGGTCCAGGTCATGTCATTTTGCAGGTGTATTTATTTTATCTTCAAAAGTTATGAATAGTGCACAGAATACAACTCTTTGATTCAGTTTTAAGATGCTGCAACTCACTCAGTGAACTATTATACAATCAGTTAACTCCTGCTGTGCTGAAGGAAGGGAAGAAAATATTGCTGTCTGTCCAACGGCTGTTCTGCAACACTAGGTCAGAACAATAGCTGTGCTCACTGCTGCCTTCTAATGGGGAAGTAAATCCTTCCTGACACTTCACAATTAATCCCACACGAGCGTGAAGTTTCAATCCGGAATCACTGTGCAGTGGCCAATTTTCATTGGGCACATAATATTAGGACATTGGACAGATGGGGCTCATAACACACCATACGAGAGAGCAGGCAAAGCTAAAGAGTTCAGACAGGATATGTAAAATGATGGCATTATCCCACTTAACAGTTTTTTAATATCTCTCCAGCTCAGCATCAAACCACATCACTGTTAAACACTCCGGGGCATTATTCATGTGAAGGGCGCTAAAAAATGTAAGGTGCTGTTTTAGTAATCTCCTCATTACAACTATATTCTGGAACTATACTACTGAGCTCCTAAAAAAATCTGAATGTTCCTCTTATTGTGCCTTGAAGCCAATAAGAAAGAACTTAAAATTTTCCAGCACCTTATGATTTCTTACAAAGTTTAAATAGTTACCGTTGAGTGTGGTGACAGTTACTGTAGCCAAATAAGGCATCCGTTTCTCGTACAGGTGAAGTCCCAAAAGCAGTCATGAAGTGAGGGGCCGATTAAGAGGATTGTTGTTCAACACATTGGAGAGAAACTCCCTTCTCTTTTTTAATATATGAATCAGATCTTTAATGTTTATCTGAAGAACAGACAGATGGGACCTTTGTTTATATCTGGTCCAAAAGACTGCACCTCCAATGCTCTTCCTCTCACCTCAGAAGTGCACACAGATATCAGCCTTGACTGTGAGTTTAAGTGGGGTAGGATCCATAGTCTTCTGACCCGAAAGTGAGAATGCTACTAACTGAGCCAAGCTGGTACCTAGGACAGCAACTAGCTCACTGAGTACAAGAGAATACCTGGTAAGTGCAAAACAAATTGCATAAAATGACTTAGACATTTACTAGGATATTCTCTTTATTTCAACACATTTATTGTTCACAGATACGAGAGCACAAGTAGATCACATTGTAATATGAAAGTGATTACTAGAGAGAATTTGTTTTGCCGCTTAAAGCCACCTATATTTCAGCAGCAATCGTAGTTCAAAATAACACAGACACCACAATCTATTTTGTAGTATTCTCAACGTCAAACACAACTAGTTTCACATAACCTGTTCGTGTAGCAGTAAGAAAAAGTAATCTGGAGGTCAGACTTCAAGTGCCAGGGCTAGCAGACACTAAAATCTGGCAGTTTTTGCTTACTAAGACTTGACGGGGCTCAGCTCTGCTGCTTATCCAAGTATAGCCTTTTCTCTCAGCTTGTGGGCTGGAAATAATAATAATAATCCTTGCATTTGATATAGCGCTTTTCACGTCGGGAGGATGTCCCAAAGCGCTTCACAGAACACACTGTAAAGTGAATTGACTGTATATTTGTGGGGAAACGCGGCAGCCAATTGCGCACAGCAATGTCCCACAAACAGTTGTAGATTGAAAATGACCAATTTATTATTGTTTTTGGTTTTGGAGGGATTATTATTAGGCTCTGTGTGGAGTAAGGAAACTTGCCCAAGGTTTCGCCCTCTGCTTGGAATTGAACTCAGGTCTCTCACTTGCAAAGCGAGTGCTCTAACCACTGAGCTACAGGACTCCACAATGATTGTTTGTGGAGAACAAGTAAATGGCAGAGTGACATTGAAAGAATGACAATGCTTCTCGGATTTCTAGAACCGAGCAGCTTCATTACTACAATATTCTGCCTAAATGGAAATACATTGTATCTTCTAAACTTTTGAACCAGCTCTATGATCCTTTCCTGTTCTCCACTTTCCTATGTTCCCATGAGAGATTCGACTCTTAATCACCACAGAGTTTGGAAAGAAGAATATTTTTTGGACTCTGCCGACTTAACTCAAATGTTAAGGTTATGCCGTGTCATCCTGGATTTATTTACAGTAAAGAATCATTCCCTATATACTTTGCATCAATGGCTTTCATCATTTTGAACACCTCAATCAGATCACCTATCAATTCCTAAACTCCGATGAAAACAATTCCAATTTTCTCAGTCTCGCACCATAGTTAAATTGGAGCATCCAGGATGCACTTCCAAAGCCTTTACATTTTCCCCAAACCATGATGCACTACTGAAAATCAAATCCAACACACATTCCTTACGGTTATTCTCTATACCTCTTGTGATCAAACCCAGTATTCCATTTGCCTTTCTTTTTGGTTTATACAGTTCCTCCACAACATTGCCCGGCTCCGTCACTGCCTCATCCCTCAGGCTGCCAAAACCCTCATCCACTCATTCATCACATCTAGGCTTGACTACGTCAACTCCCTGTTTGTTGGCCTTCCCATCTCTTCTCTCCACAAGCTCCAGATCATCCAGAACTGATGCAGCTTGTGTTCTCTCCTGCACCAGGCTCTGTGAACCCATCACCCCCACCCAGCTTCAGTGGCTCCCCATCCCCCAGAGAATAGAGTTCAAAATCCTTGTCCTCACCTTCAAGGCTCTCCACGGAATTGCTCCTCCCTACATTTGCAACCTGCTGAGGCCATATCAACCTGTCTGCTCCCTCTGCTCAGCAGGCTCTGGCCTGCTCCACTTACCCTGTCCGGCCTGCTCTATCATCAGCGGCCAGGCCTTCAGCCTTTCTGCCCCCACGATATAGAACTCCATCTCACATTCCCTTCACCTTGTTCCCTCCCTTGCCTCCTTCAATGCACATCTCAAATCCCTCCTCTTTGACCCGAGCCTTGGGCCACCCTCCTCCCCGATCCTGATCCCCAGCTCAAGTCCAAATCCCTGACTGTCCAGTGTCTTGGGATATCCTCCTGACGTGAAAGGCGCTATACAAATGTAATTTGTATTGTATTGAACTTGCTTTTAATGACTATGTACCTGGATCTCTAAATTCATAAATTCCTCCCAGTGCCTCCTCATTTAGCAAAATTCTGTTTTGCCATTCCTATCGCCAGAGTGCACCACTTCAAATGTTTGTAACAATGAACTGCATCTGCCATTATTGCACATATCTGCTTAATCTATCTATGTCCTTATGTAAAAGAAAACCTTATTGTTAGTGAATGTAAAAGTGGTAGCCGATTTATACGAAGATCACATGTTAACGTTACCTTTTCAGCTCTACTTAACATAAAAGGGGGCAGTAAGCACCCACATGGGTTGAATAACAAAACCACTGAGACTACAGCTTTTACAACATTAACTTGGCTTTACCAGAACTGGCTACCAACCAACAAGTCTCCTTTTTGTGCATCAAAAATATGTAGTAAGGTTTGATCACAAGCAACTGTCGAGGAAAGAGGCAATGGAAATTGTGATAAATTATTAAGAATCAATGCAATTGAGCCCTCAAAAACATGACACTTAAGTTATCAGAAGTAATGCTGTACAGGAGTACCGCTGATCTGTTGGAGACTTGGCCACCTTTCTAAATCTCTACGCCATAAAGCCAGGGAAGAAGCGAGGCGAAGGGAATGTGAGATGGAGTTCTATGTCATGGGGGCAGAAAGGCCTCACTCCAAAATTACATCTGGACATAAACTAGAAACATTCAATAACAGTTTTTTTTAAAAAATCACAAAATGACCAGTTTCTGTGTGTTAAGAGATGCCGAACATTGGAGCATCACATGTGACACTGCAAAACAACAGTATGCAGGTTCAATCTCACGTGTCAATATCAACCTTGACCTCACACATTGTCCACAGATTTCTATAACAGAGATGTACATCACACCTGTATACAAGTCATTTTTCTCTGAATCTGAGTTCTGGTTATATAAAAGGTTTCTTTATTTCAGGGATCCTGGTTCAAACTTGCAAGAAATATTTACCTGCAGACGTCTGTTTAAACTTTTCACTTTTCTTCTTCCTCCATTTCCACGGTTTAAACAATCTCCCTAACGTTGCAAACTTGCTTCTTCTCCTAATGGGTGGAGTGTGAGTCCCAGGGACCAGCGATTCTGAACGCATGGCAGCCAGTCTCTCTACTTCTTCAGCTGGATTGAGAAGAGAAATGGAAGGTGAAATAGCAGAATGCCCATGTGTGACATGGCGTGCTTTCAGTTATATCAAATACTTGTATTTTAATGTAAAATTTAAGCAAAATGCAAACTTCAACAAATATATTGTTTATCATAACCAAATAAATCCTTGATTAGAACATTTTAATAGTAAAACCTGCTTCAGTGGGCAACATGTATAGTGTCTTTTGGTCTTACTTGTGGATTGGTGCCACTTTACAGTGAAGGTTCCCTTTGTGGTTTCAATCAACCGCTCTCTCTCACACACACACACACACAGCTACTTTAACTCTATCCAATCCTATGCTATTGCTTCCTTACATATGGAACTTCAATAGTGTTGGTGCTTTCCCATTGTCCTGCTGCCTCCTGAAAACTATCAGAGCATTTACCTTTATTCTGCAAAATAACATTTCCTTAAATATCTGTGTTAAACATAAAATTAATTGCTTGGTGCCCAAGTTCCCTTCAATGGAATTTGGGTGCCAGTGTTGTTTTTATAATAATAATAATAATAATCCTTGCATTTGATATAGCGCTTTTCACATCGGGAGGATGTCCCAAAGCGCTTCACAGAATATACTGTAAAGTGAATTGACTGTATATTTGTGGGCGAACGCGGCAGCCAATTGCGCACAGCAATGTCCCACAAACAGTCGTAGATTGAAAATGACCAATTTTATTATATTGTTTTTGGTTTTTGGAGGGATTATTATTAGGCGTGTGGAGTAAGGAAACTTGCCCAAGGTTTCGCCCTCTGCCTGGAATTGAACTCAGGTCTCTCGCTTGCAAAGCGAGTGCTCTAACCACTGAGCTACAGGACTCCACAATTGAACTAGCAGCACAACTGCATCAGATCAGCAACCCAGACAGATCCAAAGGCACAGTTTGCTTTATTTTCACATTATAGCTGGAAGTGCAAAATCACATTTTTTTTACAAATGGAAATATGGATGTGCTGCTAGGTACCCAACAGTGTTGTTTCAGGTATAGAAGTACTTGAGTTGATAATTGGGATCAGGCTAATGGAGAATAGAATCATTTCATTGAAACCACCCACAGTGCGCAGTGACCCTGATGGAGCATCAAGAGAGCTCCTGCAGCTTCATAATACTGAACTGTACGTTATTAACTTGGTTTAAAAAAAAGTAAGGATTAAAACATTAGGCAGCATTTGGGCAAATTGTTTGCTATTAAAGCACAATTAGCAATTCTATTGTAGATACAACAACAACAAGATTCCATTTATAGAGCGCCTTTCACGTCAGGAGGACGTCACAAGGCGCTACACATTTGGGTCAGGACCCGAGCAAGGGGGAAATGGTCAGGGTGAGGGGAGGGAAGGGAGGGAGCGAGGAGGGGGGAAATGGTCAGGGTGAGGGGAGGGAAGGGAGGGAGCGAGGAGGGGGTAGAGAGTCGAGAGGGGAGCTGAAGGCACGGTCAAAGAGAAAGGTCTTGAGACCGGCCTTGAAGGAGGAAAGGGAGGAGGCGGCGAAGGCACTGGGGGATGGAGTTCCGGAGCCTCGGGGCTGAGAGGCTGAAGGCCCGGCCACCGATGGTAGGGCGATTGGGGCGGGGGATGTGGAGCAGACCGGAGCCGGAGGAACGGAGGGTACGGGCAGGTAGGTAGGGGGATAGTAGGTTGGAGAGGTAGGAGGGAGCGAGGCCGTGAATGGCCTTGTAGGTGAGGATGAGGATCTTGAATTCGATCCTCTGGGGGATGGGGAGCCAGTGGAGGCGAGCGAGGGTGGGAGTGATGTGGTCCCGAAGCCTGGTGCGGGACAGTACACGAGCTGCAGAGTTCTGAATGACCTGCAGCTTGTGGAGGGAGGTGGCGGGAAGGCCGACGAGGAGAGAGTTCCCATAGTCCAGCCTTGAGGTGATAAAGGCGTGGACCAGAGTTTCAGCCGCGTGAGGGGTGAGGTAGTGCCGTAGTCTGGCGACATTCCGGAGGTGATGGAAGGCGGTGCCAGTTGTGGTGCGGATATGAGGGAGAAAGGACAGCTCAGGGTCGAACAGAACCCCGAGGTTCCTGACTGGCTTTGAGAGGTGGAGAGTGCAGCCTTGGATGCTGATGGTGTCAGCGCCTGAGGTGCGGAGGCGCTGACGTGAGCCAATCAGGAGGGCCTTAGTTTTGCGCTCTTAAGCTGAAGAAAGTTGTCTCTCGTCCAGGACTCGATGTCGGACAGTCAGGCTGTCAGGACATCGGTGGTCGTGGAGTTGAGGGTAGAGGAGGAAAGGTAGATTTGGGTGTCATCCGCATACATGTGGAAGTTAACCCCATGTCTGCGGATGATGTCACCACAGGGGGAGCATATAGAGGGTGAAGAGGAGGGGACTGAGGACAGAGCCCTGAGGGACACCGCATGAGACAGTGCGGGGTCCGGAGGAAAAGCCATTCGTGGAAACATAGTGAAGACGGTGGGAGAGGTACGACTTAAACCACTCAAGGACAGTGCCTTGAAGGTTGAGATAGGAGGACAAGCGGTGGAGGAGGATAGCGTGATCAACCGTACCAAATGCAAATAGATAATTTCCACCTAAGTTATTACTGAATTATTACTATTATCATGCACACCTCCCCTACAGCACTGCTGCCTGGGATCAGTTAGGCTCATCTTGCAGCACCCAGGTCAGAAGACATTAAATGGGACATCCTCCCGCAGTGAAAGATACTATCTATTTGTTGTTATTGTTGTTAAATCACGTGTGCTGCTTTTGACTCCCTCCCTCCCTCCTTCTCCCCCTCCCTTCCTCCTTCACCCCACTCTCTCCCTCCCTCACCCCACTCTTCTTCTCCCCACTCCCCTACTCTCCTTCTACCCCACCCTCCCCCCACTCTCCTTCTCCCCCACCCTCGCCCCACTCTGCTTCTCCCCACTCCCCCACTCTCCTTCTCCCCACTCCCCCACCCTCCCCCCACTCTGCTTCTCCCCACTCCCACACCCTCCCCCCACTCTGCTTCTCCCCACTCCCACACCCTCCCCCCACTCTGCTTCTCCCCACTCCCCCACCCTCTCCCCACTCTCCTCCCGACTCCCCACTCAACTCTCCTTCTCCCGATTCCCGCACCCTCCCCCCACTTTCCTTCTCTCGACTCCCGGACCCTCCCCCCACTCTCCTTCTCCCGACTCCCGCACCCTCGCCCCACTCTCCTTCTCCCGACTCCCCCACTCTCCTCCCGACTCCCCACTCTCCTTCTCCCCCACTCTCCCCCTACTCTCCTTCTCCCCACTCTCCCACCCTCCGCCCACTCTCCTTCTCCCCACTCCCCACTCCCCACCTCTCCCACCTTCCCCCCACTCTCCTTCTCCCCACTCTCACACCCTCCGCCCACTCTCCTTCTCCCCACTCCCCCACCCTCCGCCCACTCTCCTTCTCCCCACTCTCCCACCCTCCTTCTCCGCACTCTCCCCCTCCCTGCCCCCCTGCCTTTCCCCACTCTCCCCCCCGCCTCTCCCTGCTTTTCCCCACTCTCCCCCCACCCCCCGCCTCTCCCTGCCTTTCCCCACTCTACCCGCCCCCTGCCTCTCCCCTCCCTGCCTTTCCCCACTCCCCTGCCTCTCCCCGCCTTTCCCCACTCCCCTGCCTCTCCCCGCCTTTTCCCCTGCCTCTCCCCGCCTTTCCCCCTGCCTCTACCCACTCCCCTGCCTCTCTCCCTCTCCCCACTCTCCCCCCCCCCTGCCTCTCCCCACTCTCCCCCCCCTGCCTCTCCCCACTCTCTCCCACCCCGCCTCTCCCCCCTTCCACCAACTGCCTCTCCCTGCTTTTCCCCACTCTCCCTGCCTCTCCCCCTCCCTGCCTCTCCCCACTCTCCCTGCCTCTCCCCACTCCCCCCACTGCCTCTCCCCACCCCTGCCTCTCCCCACTCCCCCCCCGCCTCTCCCCACCCCGCCTCTCCCCACTCCCCCCCCTGCCTCTCCCCACTCCCCCCGATGCCTCTCCCCACTCCCCCCCCTGCCTCTCCCACTCCCCCCCCTGCCTCTCCCCACTCCCCCCCCCGCCTCTCCCCACTCCCCCCCCCCGCCTCTCCCCACTCCCCCCCGATGCCTCTCCCCACTCCCCCCCGCCTCTCCCCACTCCCTGCCTTTCCCCGCCTTTCCCCACTCTACCCCTCCCTGCCTCTCCCCACTCTCCCACTCCAGCTTTGTCCGGAAATTACGTTATCATAACATCCCTCCCTTGTCGTACTATTATTCCATGGAACTGTGTCTACAGACTGACTCTATTGGTTCCTTTATGCTGCATTGAAGCTGGCTGTTATTCGATTGGTGGACGGCTTATCCAGGGGTAAGAATTCCACCAGAAAATAATAAAAAATAAATAATACTAATTTGGTCACTCAATCCATGACTGATTGTGGGACACTGCTGTGCACAATTGGCTGCCGCATTTCGCCCACAAAATATGCAGTTAATTCTGTGAAGCACTTTGTGACGTTTCGAAGACGAGATAAGGCACTATATCAAATACAAGGATTATTATTATATCAATGGTTTGCAGTTTTAGCTGGTTAGACTCAAGCAGTACCCTAATGTGCACTCTGGGGTGTCCAAGCTTTGCCTCTTGCCAACCTGCACATAATACTTTCCGAAATTATGTAAGCAGAATGCATCCCTCCAAGCAGAGAGTGCACATTCCATTCCAACATTTTATCTCTGGGATTTCCATGTGTAGGTGGGATGCATGGAATTCTCAACTTGATTTGGATATCCTTAAGCATGGCGATGTGTTTTTGCATGCGACAGACACCCGGCTGACAAAAAAAGTTTATTTTTTTAAAACCCTTTTAAAATTTTATACACTTCTACAAGGTCCTCTCTGACTATCTTCTCTCAAGACTGAGGAGCTGTAAATGTCTAATCATTGCTCATAGTTCATTTATCTAACACCAAGGATGATCTTCGTTGTTGTCCCTCTAGGACCTTGGCAGAGTCCTTATGTCTCTACAACCAGGACAGTACTGACCATCGAAC